TAGCTTTAGGCTGTCTTCTTTCTTGCTCTAACACACCTAATGCACCAGCAGGAGAGACTGACATCTCTAGGGCCAATGCAGAAGATTTTGTTATTCCTTTGCTCTGTGTGGTGGCTCCTTTCCGTGTGTTCCCTAAGGTTTTATAGCCACAATTTCACATTCATATATCCTGGGCCACTCAGCAGCAACCCCTGCATTGACCTCATATCATCAGAAGTGCTAGATGTGGAGCAGATCTATGATGGGATCCAGCGGCTCCACCTGCCAACGCAAGCGTCAGCTCTCCTGTTTGCTTGGTGGCCTCCACCATCTTCCTTCTGTGATGTCTTCTAGGAGTAATACTTTCCTGTTACTCTGTCTGTGATATCTCTGTCTTGGCCCTGACCCTTTCCTCTTTTACATCTCCTTAGATAACTCTCCAAGTTTTGCTGTCTGACCCTTGCAGAGCCTGGCAGAAGAGTTTTCTTTCACCCTTCCCTGAGCCAAACAGCACAAATTAAACTGCCAGTCTTTCCTCTGAACTGAATTCCTTCAGTCATTTTATATTGATTTTCTCTGCTTTCCCTCCAGCTCACTGGTCTGAGATGTACTACCCTGAGTGATGCAGGTGAAGAACTGTTGAGGAATGGAGATGCATTGTCATCTCCTGGCTCCCTCATCCACGTCCTTGTAAATGTAGCCTGAATACTCTGCCTTTTTTCAAACACAGGCTGGTGAAGCTACTGACCTGGGCATTGGCCTGCAGGTGAGTCTGGAATGAACTGTCTCCCCTTGTCTGTAATGGGGTGACATTCACTCGCTCTAGGGGGTTGTGGTGTGTTACACACTGGAGGTCAGTGATCTTCATGTTGGCTGAATTCATTGTGATGTGAACTGGCAGATTTTCAAGCAACTCTAAGTGTAAGTTAACATAAAAAATCCTTTTGAGTTAGTGCTATCCTATGATAGGGGATGATGGCAGGTATCAGCCCCATTCAGTATCTCAGGAAATAACTTGAAAGAGGGCCTCAGTGTCACATTATACCAGTCTGAAGTGGATGACACATTGGGTAAGGTGTGGGAGGCTGAGACGACACTTTCTGAACAGCAGTCAGGACAAAGAAACAAGTCAAAGGAACCCACAGAAGTTCAAAATCTAGACAGGGATTCACACTGGAAAAACTTTGAGGGAACTTCATCTGAATTGCAGATGTGCAGTAAGAGACACTTGGAAGATGGCTGACCTAGGATGACCTAGGAGTGAACATGGCTGGGAAATTAGACAAGAATTTGTCTAGACATGATGTCAAAAAGGCCAAACAATACTAAGCTGCATTCGCAGATCCAAAAATAAGGAGGAGGCGGTGTCTCTATACATGAGTATGTTGCGACCACATCAGAAGAAGTGCTTTTAGCAACCTATTACCAAGATGGGAAGGACCGACCTTGAAAAACAGAAGAAAATTCATTTGGGGAAGTGATGTATCAGAAATTGTGAAGAGGTAATGTATGCATAGACTCTGTCAGGCCTACAGTTACTATAAGTAATTGCAAGCAATTAAGAAGGGAAAGATTTAGCCTGAATAGAAGGAAAATGTGTTCACATATTCAAAGCAGCAAGGAGGGGAAGGGCTTGTTTAGCACAATCCAGGAGGGTCTAAGAAGAATGGAGCTGAACAACAGGAAAATGTAATACAATGGACTGCATCCAAGCAGTGAGATCTATTAAAAGATGAAACCATCTCTCAAGGAAAAATGGTTGGTTTCTGAGAAGGCTGGACAGCTTTCTGCAGAAGACAAAGCTTAGATTTTCCCCTTCCCCAGCACTGTAGAAGACACCTCAAAGGGCCCTCCATGTCTGGCTCACAAGGAGCAGCAGCAGCCCTGAAAAAAGGCAGCTCCAGTATGTTTTTGCTGCCTTCACCTAGGCAGAATTTAGAGCAGCAAGTGGGCAAAAAAAATCAAAGCAGGACCCTCACCTCTCAGATTGCGAATGAAGTCCTCCAGCATCATCTTCCTGTCAGGCTTGATGTTGGGGCTGTACATGTCCGTATTGAGGAGGATGATTGCAAAGGCCAAGATGAAGATGGTGTCCGGGTTGTGAAACTGCTGGACCACATCTGGGTTACACATGCAGTACCTCTGGCTGCAGCAGGAAGGATGCACACACTTAGCATGGAACATGGCAGTCCTCTGCTCCAGGGTGGCAATGGCTTCATCACAAGTGGATCAAACTCCTCCTTTCACTCCACCTCTCACACAAATGAGAAGGAACTGACTGCTCTCTGAAGGCAAATTTACCCACCAACGGCTGAAGTAGGCCACTGAAACTTCAGCCACCTTGCCCTCAGGAACCAAAAGAGCAAGTGAGACTGGAGAGGACTACTCAGGCTGGTGTAACTGTGTAATGTAGGAGGTGTCTACTCCAGCCTGCCTTGCTAAGGGCAAAGCACTCCTCTGGATGCACCAAGGGAGCAACCCAGCACCTCTGCAAGCCCCAGTGCTGCTCTTCCTGTGAATCACCAGTGAACGGGGAGTCCCTTGCTGGCAGACGTGTCAGGACTGGTCTCACTCTGGCCCTTTGTGCCCTTCATGCCACTGAACATCTGACAAGGACATGGCTCTGCCGCAGCAGTGGCACAGAGTACTCTGTGCTTCAGAAGCCCCTCTGTGATCACCTTCTTTGGAAGGGAGGTTCCTGGCCATTCACTCCACGGCTGCTGCATGTTTTCTGCCTTGGGTGTGTTCTCTGCTTCCACCTGGTTGCAGCAGTGTGGCTGCAGGGCTCATTTTCTTACCTGAAAGCCTCAATTAGCCGCTCGACCTTCTGCGCCTCCCCCTGCACGCGGATGTGGGCCTGGAATTTCCGCAGGGCTTCGTCCAGCTCCATGCCTGAGAAGTCCATCTCATCCACCACGCAGCTGTGGGAGGGGGACACAGCCTTCATCAGCACCTCCTCCTGTGGAGGACGCCAGGCAGGCTCCTTCACTGAGGTGTCAAGGCTCAGTTCCCAAGGGAAACACCATGGGAGAGGCCCTGAGACATTACTACAGCTGCCCAGATCATATTTAAAATGGGCAATAATTTCAGACAAGTTATTCCTGCATTCTACAGCAGGTGAGCAATTCTTGTGCCTAACCATATATATATATATATATGTGCGTGTGTGTGTATACACACCATGATATATATATATATGTAAAATATCATACCATATACAGCATACATATTTACATATACACATACAAAGTATATATATATATGTATTGATATTTATCTATACCTATATAGATACAGATATCT